CTCCATTTCGATTTAATTTTACTTCCACAATAAAGAAATTTTACTTTTATTTTTTAAATTTCGTGAAAGGAATTAACAGAACGATGAAAAGAAGCAGTGGGATCGCCAAATAAAGGGATCCATGAAATGGGCCAGAAAAATGAACATTTTCTCTTTTGTATAAGATTAACCATAAAGAAAACAATTTTGTCTGACAAAAAGAGAAAATTTCCAGCGGGAAATTCTTAATTCTTTCAACCAAAAATTTCTTTTCTGCTATATTTTGAAATTTGATTTGTTTCAAAAAATCAATGACGTAATGGTCAAACAGTTAAATAATTAGGTTAAAACAGAAATCACCGACAAGTTGAACTGGGAAGAAAGTTGTAAAAAATTAGTGTCTTTTTTTCTTTTCCCAAATTAGAAAAAAACAGAAGAATCAACGAATTATCGACTGTCCCAAATCAATGATTAGGATAAAATCAAGAAAATCAAAAAATTGGAGGACTCGTTCAAGCTTTATTAACTTACCAAACATTAATCAATAACTTCTTAAATCCTTAATAATCCATAAGAGATCTTAAATTCTAAACGATCTTAGATCCTTAAAAGATGTTTTGATTTCATATTTGTTTCTGCGAAACATTTCAGTTAGATGATTTCGACTGGTTTATGCGGGCAGATGACGATTTGTACGTGCGGGGAGAACAGCTGGAGACACTGCTAAGGTTTGCCTTCTGATTCATAGCTAAGAATGACTCACTTTCGTTTTAAGACTGAAAATGCGATCGAATGCGATCGAATTTTTCATTTCAAATAATATGCGAAAAAAAAAATCTGTGAAGTTTTTGGGGGCTAATCAACTGTAACAAATACAATGAATGATCAGAAACGAGGGTCAGAACTGAACAAGAAAGTATTTCTGAATCCATTCTCTTGAAACTCATATATTTTTATGTGTTAGGTCTTTGGATTCGGATAAGACGCATTTGATTGGTCAGGCTGGATTAGGTAATACAGCCGAATATGGGCAGTTATCTCTTGGTCAGGAGGACAACTACTGCATGGGAGGACCGGGCGTTGTGATGTCCCGGATGACTTTACGTCTTGTTGCTCCGCATCTGCGTTCATGTTTGACGGAAATGTTCACTACACATGAGGATGTCGAACTGGGAAGGTACCATTTACCATTTTATGGTAGAATGATTATCGTTGTTCTAATGAACTACCAATAAGGGTACCAAATATACTTGGGATTATTTGCATTTTATACCGTGGTCATTTTATACCGTTTAGATGCATTCGTAAACATGTTGGTGTCACATGTACATGGAACTATGAAATGCAAACACTGTTTCACAATAATCAAACGGTAGCGAATGCCTACCAAGGTAGTTTAACGGAGTTACGTCATGCCATCACGTTGCATCCAGTCAAACAACCATCAACAATGCGTCGAATCCATGTTCACAATCGTATCCTCCGGCTCGCTAAATTACGTTCCACACGTATCACATTATTAAATGAATTGCCGAACCGGAAAGCACCATCTCTTACACGTCATATCCCAAATTCAACCCGTGATCTCTTCCATTGGGACTTTATTTCATCAAACAATATTTTATTTTGTGCTAAAAAAGTGAATTGTCCTAGGCATACACTTGATCTAAGCATACGGATGGCACTCAGTGAAATTATCACGCAGGTTATTACTGTCATTTTTATCATTATCATTAAGTTTACTCGGTTAATGTCAATACCGCCATTACCATCCTATCGCTATCAGTACCACTGCCATTATCGCATTTATTAATTGATCATCAACGTCATGGCCAGGCTTCACGAACGAAGATTTTTAAAGGGCTATGCTACGCTTGCTGCAAATGCTACAAAAAAGGGTATATCCTGCGCATGGGATTTGTTAGGTGAGGCACAGCATGCTTGGAATTGGCTCCACCTTTTACTCTTAAGGTCAAGGCTCTTAAAGTTCATTTGTCAGCGCCTAGCGAGTTTGAACGATAACAATGAAGTCTTCAGAACGTTGGTTTTGTTGGAGTATCCTTCTATTAGATGGATCGCTCTAAAGGGTTAAACGAACTCCGTCTGTTCAGGTTGCGAGTTAGAATTGTCCTTCGCTTAGAACCCGGAAGCTAGTGAGCTCATCCTGCCCAAAGACATACTTTGTCTGACCCTTCAGTTAAGATGTGTCTGGCATGGGAGACCGTACTGGAAACATAAGCCATAACCAGCATAGCTCACAACCTTATTAGGTCACGCAAGTTTTTCCACTGCGACAAGAGGGCGCCTGTGGAGATCTCGTTAACTGATAACCATTTACAATTAGCATAAACATCAACCTACCAGAAAAAGTATGTTTCATAACTTTTTCGCAACTTCAAAATTTGTAATTTCGCCATTACTAATATGCAACTTGCGATATTTTGTAGTTATTCGATGAATTTAATGCAAATGCTCGACAACGAGGTCGCGTACTACGGTTTCAAAACATCCAATATGGTTACATGAGGGTTGAGCCACGTCATGGTGTTGATTATGTGCTTGATATGGTATTGTGGTTCAAGAAGATCCGTCCACCTCACAAGTTGATCCTTTCCTTTTTCAATGGTTGAAAATTAATGCTAAGTTCCAAAGGATGATATTTACTATATATATATATATATATATATATATATATTGTTGTCGTTGTTATTACTTTTACG